AAAAAAAAAAGAAGAAGATAGTAGGAAGGCAAAAATGAAGGGGGGGAAATTGGAGGGGGAGACAACCATGAGAGACTTTGGACTCTTAGAAACAAGCTGAGGGTTTTGGGGGGGTGGGGGGATGGGTTAGCCCGGTGATGGGTAGTAAGGAGGGCACGTACTGCATGGAGCACTGGGTGTTATACACAAACAATGAATCATGGAACACTACAGCAAAAAGTAATGATGTAATGTATGATGACTAACATAACATAATAAAATAAAATCAAAAAACAAAAAGCAAAGGCTAGAAGATGGAGCAGTCCTGTGAGTGTCATATTAGCAAAGCTAAGGAGTCTGGGTTTCTGAGCAGTTTCTGAGAATGAGAAGCCATCAAAAGGAGAGAGAAGTGGGACAGGAAGCAGGTGAACACATTTGTGCTTGGGTATGGAGAACAAAGGCACAGGAGTGAAAGCTTCTGGGAAACCATAATCCCATAGAATGACAAGGGACTGTCACTGTTAGGAAAAGAAGGGCTATCTGTGTGGGCTAAGTGAGCAGGTGGGGACTAGCAAGAGTCATTCATAACCTCAAAGTCCTCTGTATTGAAGACAAAACACTCAAATCCCTATAAGATGCCAATTAGATGCCCAACTACTTCTGAGCAATATGTCTCAGCTTTATGGAGGGGTGGAAAAAATTAGCAAAAGAATGAACACCCAAAAAAGGACTTCTTTTTTTCCCAAACCGATGAAACTATGCAGCTCCAAGATCAAGTCCAGAACATTGGAGTTACCTCTGTTCTAAGAGGAAAACAGAACCTTCTCCACTTGTGTAGATTTGGGGACTCACAGTTCACTCAAACTCTAGCTTAAAGATAGTTTGCTTTGCCTTTGCCTGGTGTACCTCCTTCCAGGCGACCACCTAGACTTGCAAACTGACTGGAGAAAGGGGCTTCTGTGGTTAAGAGAATGTTCCAGAGACCTGATAATCTCTACAGATTTTACAGTGAAATTTGGAACTACTGGAACATTCAAATACAACCAGCAGGGACGCCTGGGTGGCTCAGTCAGTTAAGTGTCTGCCTTTGGCTCAGGTCATGATCCCAGGGTCCTGGGATCGAGTCCCACATTGGGCTCCCTGCTCTGCGGGGAGCCTGCTTCTCCCTCTGCCTCTCTCTCTCTCTCTCTCTCTCTGACTCTCATGAATAAATAAAACATTTTAAAAAATTAAAAAAATAAGATAAAAACAAAAAAACAAATACAACCAGCATGCAAGACCTACAGTTTTTCTGACCATGACAGACTCCGTTGGCTTCCTTCCCCACCTTCAGTTCAGCATACAAATATAAGGTCACAGTCATCTGAACTTTGGGACTATTCGAATTCTGGGGGCAATGAGGTTACCTGAGCACAGGAAGATAAATATCAAGAGATGCACAAAAGCATATGACTAGAATGATATATTTAAGGAGGTAAAAAAAAAAATCTCAAAAACATTAGAAGATATGATCAAGGTGAAGGAGTACCCAGTAAAGGTGAAAATTTTCCTATGAGAAATTCCACAAGCATTATTTCTTTTAAAGTCAGTGTATTTAAAAAATAAAATAAAATAAAATAAAAAATAAAAATAAAGTCAGTGTCTTTCAAAGAGGAACATATGGGAAGGGAGGAAAGAAAAAAAGGAGAGAGGGAAACAAATCATATGAGACTCTTAAAGACAGAGAACAAACTGAGGGTTGACAGAGGGAGGTGGGTGGGGGATGGGCTAGATGGGGGATGGGCATTAAGGAGGACACTTGGGATGATCACCGGTGTTGTATGTAAGTGATGAATCACTGATTTCTACTCCAGAAACCAGTATTGCACTATACGTCCACTACCTAAAATTTAAATTAAAAAGTGTCTTTCCCTACACCAAGGCTAGAAAGATATTAATTTCTATTTTCTACTAAAAGTTTAACAATTTTGCTTTTGACTAATGGCGGTTATTTTATCTGATGTTGATTTTTATGTCACAATGTGAAATATGGATCTAATTTTTTCCCATACATTCCCCTTACTGAATACTTATTTTTCCCACTTATCTGTCATGCCACCTTAGGTCACATGTCAAAGTTCCAAATACAGGGATCTATTTTCAGACTCTCTAAGCTATTCCACTGGTCAGTTTATCTGTCTCTATACCAGTACCACATTATTTCTGTAACTTCATTATAAGGCTTGATACTTGACAGGGCAAGTCTTCAATCCTACTATTATGCTTCAAATGTGTCTTCACTATTCCAGTTTCTTTACTCTTTCATGCAAATTTTAGTATCGGTTTGTTCAATTCCATGCAAGACTCATGGGATTTTGAAGGAAACCACATTGAATTTATAGATCAATTAGATTAGAAATGACATCTTTCTGATATTGTGTCTTCCGATCCATTAACATGGAATATCTCTCTCCATTTATTTCATCTTCTTTAATGTCAAACCTTTATATTTTTCTATATGATGACCTTACACATATTCGATTAAATTTATTAAGTACTTTAAGATTTTTATTGCTTTTTTACAATAGCAATGGTGTCTTCTTTGAATTGTATTTTCTGATTGCTACAGTTTATAAAATGCCATTGATTTCTGCAGATTACTATCCAGCCACCTTACCAAATGTTCCTATTTCTTTGTCTGAAGAGTCAATAAGGTGTTCTATGTAAACGATCATATTAACCTGTATATACTGCCAGAGGGTTTTTTTTCCTCTCCTTTCCAATGCTTAGGCCTCTAATTTTTTTTTTTTTTAAGAAATTTTGCCCTGCTAGGATGGCCACAGAATGTTGAACAGAAAGTGTGCTAACAAATATTCTTGTCATCTTCCTGATTTTAAAGATGATGTTTCTAATGTTTCCCCATTGTTCATGTTTATTGTAGGATTTTTACAGATGACCTTAATCAAATTAAGAAAATTCCCTTGTATTTTATTGTTTTTAATCATAAAGTTACACTGAATTTTATCAAATATTTTTGTGAATCTAATGAGCTGATCATATGGATTTTTCCCTTTAATCTTTTTTTTTTAAGATTTATTTATTTGTCAGAGAGAGAGAGAGCGCGTGCTCAAGCAGGGGGAGCAGCAGGCAAAGGGAGAAGCAGGCTCCCCGCTGAGCAAGGAGCCTGATGTGGGACTCAATCCCAGGACCCTGGGATCATGACCTGAGCCGAAGGCAGACACTTAACCAACTGAGCCATCCAGGTATCCCTTCCCCTTTAATCTTTTAATGTGGTAAATGATACTAATATATTTTCTAAAACTAAACCATACTTGCATTCCTGGGATAAATCCAGAAACTATAAAAAGACTTCACAAATATTCATTATAAATGCTGTCTTCAAATTGTAAAGAGACTTAAAAGCCAAGGGGAAAAATACGTAATTTGGTATTGATCAGAGAACCACTGAAGGTTTTTGACAGGGACCTAATAAGATTAGAGCTTCTAAAAGCCCAGTGGACAGATATTATTAGTTCTGTTTCACACAGATGGAATAGGGCCATTTTGGAAGCACTGGCAACACTCTCCAGTGTGACTAGTGAGCAGGAAGGCTTGCTCTTCCTTGTGTTGCTCTTTGCACTTTCTGGCC